TTTTTTTTTTTTTTTAAATGAAAATCCAGTTTGAGGTTGCATGGCTTCTTTAGATGCTATAGCCCAGGGAACAGTTCTGGCCTTAACAAAGCCCTTAAAGACAGAACTTATTTTCTCTTCTTTTTATGTCCAAAAAGGCAAAAATGAAACATCTCTTTTTTAACTTACTAGATAATGTCCTACATTACCTCAGTCTGCCTGCTTACTGGAAATGTTTTAATTGTGAAATTATTCCCACATATTGTGATGCAAATAAAAAATGGCAAATCGGCAGCTGCATTCATTTAAAATTAGCAGAGGCCCTTGTTCAAGAGATGGCATATTTAGAGTGACCCAAATTATCATGACATGAAAGCCACAGGTCAAATTCAAGGCCAAGTTTCAAATCAATGGGAAATTTCCTTGAGGGAACCTAGTGCTGTGAACTTGAATTCTTCATTGTTTTATGAAAGGCTATATTTTACTTTGCTGCATCCCAAATTTAATATCTTCTACAAGATAAAGATTTTGAAACGTGAATGAGTTCTGTTTTTCTTATTCTGAGAATATGGATTCTTTCCTACACATTTAATTCATCAATTTTTTATTTTAGTTATCATATGATCTTAATACTTTTTTCTAGAGATTTATTTCAAGTTTGGTAAAGTGTTGTTTTGGGGCTTCCCTGTGCCTCCTATTCCTAAATATGTTTCCTTTTCTTTCTTTAGAAAAGAGTTTAATTTGACTGAAGCAGAATTAATGTTATACTGAAGTTCAATTACTTGCTTTTAATGTTACACCTGACTCAAGGTTTGTGTTGCTTAAAAATTGGGGTAAATCTTCACCCTAATGTTAAAGATTTCTGCTCCACTGTCACCATCACCAGCCAAAGAGAAGACATGGGTCTGCAAAGACTAATGTGTAAGGTCTTTCTCCCATTCTCTCTACATTTCAGTAGGAACTGTCACTGCACAGTCCTCCAGGAATCTCCTGATGTAGCCGATCCTGCAGGGATTGAACTCTGGCTCTGTGATTTTTGCTTTCTGAGTCAGCACAATTTATATTTCTCATTTAGTTAATAGTGATATTAAAACACAACTTCAAAAATCCTCTTCTTTCTCTGTAACCTTACTCTAAAACTTTTGGTGAGGGTAAAACAGGTGATAGAACAGAAAGTGCACTTGCCAGGTAGGCTAGAGACCTGTTCCTCCTTCCCTCTGTTGCTTTGAAAAATCACTTCTCTTGAGTTTTGTCTGTAAAATGAAGAGGTTGGCTAAGTGATGTCTAAAATTCTCAGCAGCTTAGAAATCTAGGTTGCTTTTTCACTTTGAAATTTCAAATCATATGTATTTCCTAGTACAATTAAATATTTATAAGTTCAATATGCCTGGTATCCTAGTTTCTTCTCTATAGCTCTCTTTTGCCCTCTTTGGAGAACCATGATAGACCTTGAGCCACATTGGCTTCAAAATCGCTAGTGAATAAAGATAGAGATTTAAGGCCTGGTTTAGTTCTGTTGAATGCAGCAGCATCTACTCTTGCTGCCAGTTGGAGCCTGATCTTTTGTTTTGGTTCTGATAACTGGAACACAGTATCCACTAAAGAATATGCACCTTGAGACACAAAGGTGTCTGTAAATGCCAAGAGAAGTGAAAGAGGTGAACAAGGGAACTCTAAAGCGAGTGGGGTTCCTTGCTGCCTTCACTCAGAGCC